TCCAAAGGAAGGGCCTCATTTGTAATCGACTGCAAATACTAGTGGATTCATTCAAACTGGGTCAGGCCCCATGGTTTTTTCCCCCTTTTCAAATGTTTTCCACGTAAAAACTCTGGTCTCTTATGAATGTTTCACCCCCTCTCTTATCTGATTGTGTGCTGGATCTTCGTACAATGCTAAGACGTTAAACTATATATTTCTCTACCGCCGCGAATATTCCAGGACGCAACAAAAATAAACTAAAAAGAATAAAGAAAATCTCGATGCTTCACCTCATAAATGAGACTTTATAAAAAAAAAAACATTTAACAAAGACAGATCGCTTTGGCCTGTTGGTTGTGAGTAGATGTGTCAATATTTGAAACGACACAAAAAATCGACCCGGAAATGACCAAAAAATTTCAGGTTGGACCCGACCCGTTTGAAAAACGGGTAGAGTTCGGGTTCCTGGATTCAACCCGTTTGAAAAATGGGTCGGGTTCGGGTTGCACCCCGCATGCCCGCGCCTTCGCCTGCTGCCGAACCCGCGCTGTCGCCGTGCCACGCTCGCGCATCGCGCCACCGCCTGCTGCCGCGCTCGCTCTCGCGAAACCCGAGCTCCTTCTTTGCCGCGCAGGTCAGGTCGGGTCAACCCGGCAACCCGCCGGGTCGGATCCGGGTTCGAATTTCCGACCTGTTTACCTACCCGGGTCGGGCCTCCAATAAAAAAAAATAACAGGCTCTTCTTACATAAAAAAAATAACATGCTCAAATATAAGAGCCTCCAATAAAAAAAAAAATAAGAGCCTACAATAAAAAAAAAATAACATGCTCTTCTTACAAAGAAAATTTAAAAACCATAGGCCCAAGTGGCCTACATCTCTCCCACTAAACAAATCCAATAATTACAAATAATTTTATTTTCAATTGAATCGTTAGCTGTTAATTATCAAATAATTTACATTTTGAAACGCTGTACCAGCAACCAACCTTTACAAAAACAAATCTGATTTTTCTCCTTCTTCTCCATCACAATGACTTAACCTCAAAATTTTCTCGGTACAAAACTGGAAGGAAACCTTCGCCTGCAGTCCAAAGAGAAACTGCTCATAGGGAACACCGCAGACGTAATTCTGGTGGCCTTGAAGCTCTAACAATGGTGAACAAGAAGAGCCATGGATGGATATCACTATCTACTCTTTCTTTGGAAGGCTTTGATATTTTTTATGTAATATACACAACTGGTTTCATAGCAAACCCAGCTTCTAGAGATCCAGACGCTTCTAGAAGATATTTACTTGTCAATCTACATTGAACAGTGAATAGTTTACTAAGCATGAAATGGAAAGAGATAAATAGCCAACCTTGAAAAGAACTCGAGTACTTGTCATTCTCCTGAATGTGCCGCAGCAAAATCCTTAATTCTCTGTTTTAATGTCTGCAAAACATGCAGATTTCGTAGTTATTGTTAGAGATTTTCTTTCCAGGTCAAGGATTATGTTCTAAAATAATATTGTTTCCCAATACCTTCAACTCATCATGCAACAAGATGAAAATCTTCTTCATTTCCTTATGTCTCTGCAGCACAAACAGTAGGAAGAACATCAAATAAAGGAAGCAAAAAAAAAATAAAGCAGAGAAATCATTGTGAAATAATTGTTTAGCAGATTAAGATAGTTTTTTGCTTAAAGAACTTTAAAAATTAAACCACCTAAACATGATAACTTCCTTTTCTTTATAACGAAATAAATGAAGGAAAATTCAGGAAAAAAAAATTTAAAAGCAAATCATAGAATAACAGTAATAGATGTATCTTAGAAGTATAAAGAAAATGATGAAATTACATATATAACATAATTACATTTGAACAACAATATTTTAGTTAAAATAATTATTCAAGTACAGAAACTGTTCTTCTTCAAGTTGATGATGTATGAAAGAATGCATTTGTGCAGCAATGTTTTAGTTTTTTTTTTAAAAATGGAGTATAGATAGCGTACCTCTCCCCGTTGATGGTACATTTGTCTAAGTTTTTCCACAAGTTTGTAGTATTCTTCCATGTCCCTTCCTCTGGCAAGCTCAATGTCATCCCCAACTTTGAGAAAGTCATTCCTGCACACGGTAAGCATGAGTCATTTAAAGGTAGCAAGTAAATTGAGACAAAGTTTAAGAGTATCTGTATGTTATAAATTTCGTTATTAAATAATATTAAATATATAAACAAATAACAAAATATAGAAGTAAAACTGTAAGGAAAAGAAAAATGAGACCGAAACTTCCACAAATATCAAAACTAGAATGAAATGGGATATTTGAAACTAAAACTGAAATCAAGTTTTTAAATGTTGACTAAGATAATAAGTTAAACGTGTCCTTCGTATACCGGGTTTTCTCCAGTTTCTTGTTCAAGGAGCAGTAATGACTATATCTTTCCTGAAACACTCGCACATAATCTTTGTACCTGCAAACAGGAAATTGGTTCAATAAAACACAAGCTAAAAAATTAAGATCGAGATAATAACTATGACACTGTTATAGCCAAGACTAATAAGTTGACGTTAAGGATGTTTTACAAGTATAACGCCAGCAAAAAAAAAAAAACTTACATCGAAAAATCCTTAATCGGGCCTCCAAGACATAGCGCATCCTTTTCATATTTCATGTAAGGGGCGTTCTCTTCATCAGAAGAAGATTCCAAGCTTTTCCTGCTGCTTTCAGTGTTATTATATGTCATAGAAACATCAATACCTCTATCTGTAGATCCCTTCAATCCATTTGATTTTTGAGATTTAGACTCCTTAACGATTTTACGATCAACCAAACCGTCATGTCTATTGTCATCTTTTAGCATTCTGCTGGAAGCATATTTCTTAGGACCACTAGCTTCATTCTCTAAGCCAAGCAACTGGTCAGTTCTTGTCCCATTTTTGCCACCGGATTCTACACACTTGTCTTCAGCAACATCCATTCTTGAAGATTGCCGAAACTGGGCCTGCACTAATCTTGACTGGGATCTAGACAAATCTAGACCATCATTTGACACCTTTCCATTGACGCCTTCTCTAAATCTGTTGGGTGATTGCCTCTTTGATTCTGAGAAAGCATTTACATCACTTTTTCCCATGTTTACATCAGCAGTATTTGCTTCAGAAACTGTTGCCCTGTTGTCCATTTTCTTGAAAGAGTTGTTTCTCTCAAATTGTCTTTTATCTTCACCCATTACTTCTGTAAGAGGCTCACAAAGTTCGCCTAATTCTAGATCAGAAAGCTCTCTTCTAAGAACATTTCCTTTCCCATTCACATCAGAATTGTGCAGATCTGATATATAACCATCAGTAGATTTCCGATTGATTTGGTCCGGGGCAGACAATGTTTTCTCTCCTACAAAGATTTCCTTGGTAATTTTAGCACGATGTTTTTCGGGGCTATCACTATTTTCATCAGGCTTTCCCTTTACAGTTGAAATTCTGTCCAAAGAACTGTTTTTCAGAGTAGATGCATCAGAGTCTGTTGGGCCACACACAGTTTGCAGAGGTTTATTAGCTCTTCCAAAACTTTCAGCATATTTAGCCGGTTTCTCAACATCCAAAGTTTTCTTTCTCCTGCTGGAATCAGCAACTTTTCGGCTTGATTGTTCCACAGCTAAATTGGCAGCATCTCTAAAATCTGGACTACTCTGCACCCTATCAGTGCTTCCAGATGCAGCAGATCTAGCATGCTCCAAAAGGCTTCCTTCCAGTAAATCAGCTTCGCTTTTCTCATCTTTTTGCTGATTATTGGTCATCTTTATCTTCTGCTCCAAGTGCCTATATCTTTCAGGAGACAAATAGCACAAGTTTTCTGAAGAAAGAGCACCCTTCTCTTTTCCAAAAGAGGTTTCAGCTGAACTTGAAGCCTTCATCCTCTTGGCATTTTTAGGTTTCTCCTGCAGGTATTCTGCATTAGAAGTCCTTTTACTGCTTGTTTTGGGAACTCTTTCACGATTGCCTGGTTGATCACCAGTTCCATCCTTCATCAAGATTTGCTTCTCGTTAGAAGCTTTTCTCCCGAAAAACTTGTCTCCATCATTGCAAGAATTTACAAAAGATGATGCATGCTGGTTTTCCATAACCTGGTTGTGATCTTTAGAAAACTGTATTCCATCAACAGAAGACCTAGACTTTGATTGCTGCATATAAGAATCAATGCTTTCAACAGTTTTTGCTTCCTGCTTCTCAATTGACTTGGTGCTTCTACCAATAATGAGATTTTTAGCATCTGAAACAGAGTTCACTCTTTCGTCCGTACCTACAAAATCTAGGGCGGGAGATGCAGCATTTGCCTTTTGATCACTTTCAACGCTGTCGTTTATGTCATATTCACCACCAGATGTCCAAACACCAGGCAACTTTGATAAAGTTGACATGGTTGCATCCATTCTTTGTGCAGCAACCCCCTTGTCATCATCACTGGTCATGATATCTACATCCATGTCAGATACCTCCTTGCTGCTGGAGGAGCCATTAGTCTCACTATCGCTGCTACTTGCACTGCCACTTCCTGCAGGGCTTCCGCTTTTACTTCCACTGCCACTCTCACTACTGCTATCACTTTCACTGTCACTGTCACTCGCACTTTCACTAGAGCTGCTGGCTCTTACCACGCTACTGCCTCTGATCTCCCCTTCTATATCTAATGGATCTTCAGAATCATGCATTCTATCAATCCCCTCGAAGAGATCGGGTCCTTCTCCATGCTTTGAGCTTAGAGTTTCTTGATCCAAACTTTCATCATTGGCTTTCTCGGACAATACTGAAGCAGCTCTAGTGGTTTGCTTGTTTAAGCATTCTGGAGAACTGCAAAGCCAGACAATAGCACTGACGATAATAAACAGCAAAAAGCTGCTCGAAGAATGAAGATAAAATTCACAAAACAATAAACATTGATACCAACAAGAAATCGGAAATGGCAAACTGGATTATAAAAATCTCAAATCTTTGTTAGAAGGCTAAGTAACCTCCCATAAAAGATACAGAACATAGAGTGAACTGTCAAAATAAACGTTGTATTAAAGGGTATATACCCAGTTATGAAGCAACCAAAATTATGAGGACTAGGAGGGTTCATGTATACATCCTTATTCCTGTAATTAGGAAATGGTTGTTTCCATGACACAAAAGTAGAACTCATGACCTCCAGATCACAATGGAGGTGCCTTAACCACTTCTCCAGGCTTGCCCACCAAAAGAGACATATGTATACTCAGGAATTAAAAAGTAAACTTTAAAGCAGGTTTTCATTCAGGGAGTTCGTGATGAGTCTCATGCAGTAGGTCTGAGTGAGAAAAATATAAATAATGGTGAACCCGGTAGAAATACTGAGAAAGAAAATTCAGAAGCAGGAAGACACAGTAAAGAAAGAAGGGAAAAATAGGGATGAATGCAGAATGCAAAAATAGGGATGAATGCAGAATGCAAGTAAACAGGTAGAGGTTGATGATGCGGGAGAAGGCAGGTCGGAAAGGGCAAGGATTTCCTAATTGAAAAGGGCAGAATTGGGAGCGGTTTTGAATGGGATTAATTAGGAGATATTTCCTAATTAAATATTACAGATTTGGGGGCTGATTTGAGGGCTATTTTGAAATTTATTGTTTATTGATTGCTATAAGCAGTAGGGTTTATGTTATGTTTTATAAGCGGAATTTGATTTAAGAGTGTTGTAGTTTTCTTTTTGTGAGGATTCCTAGCTGCGTCTACGGTTTAGGAGAGATGGTTCTCCTCTTGAAAGCTGATCATTGTATCTTGCTTTGTTCGTATTTAACTGATAAGAAATACTTGAGTTCGCAAGTAACCCTAAGGGTAATACTTGAGTTCGCAAGCAAACATATCACCAATTGGTGAAAAACGGCGAGAATAATGCAAAATCTGGGTGAAAACAGCCCAAAACAATATATTGCAGTAGGAAAATCAAAGCCAAACAATAAGGAAAATAAGATACAAGAGATCCTCAATTCAGAGGAGGATCGTCTCTCCCAAATCTCTAGACAAGAGAGTCTGGAGCCCAAATCACCTAAGAAACCCTAATTGAGAACAAATCAAAACATAATCCGCCCTAATTCCCTCATGTACTTTAATACAAAAGCTTTCCTAATCTAATTTCCCTCCCAAAGCACTAGTTGCCCCCCTCTATCCAATTTGAATTCAATTAGATGGGTGGGACCCATCCATTAGGCGGACAACAGAGCAGGAGTCGAACTGTTTCCGCCTCCTGTAGATGTGCTGACCCGGCCAACGGGCCGGTTCTGCATGAACCGGCGTAACATTAACTTCCTAGAAGTAAAATTCTATTTTTGTGTTGAATCTCTTAGAGTTTGTTGCTATTTTTGATACCAATGAGCATCAAATTGGTATCAGAGCGGTATCCTAAACCAAAATCGAAATTCCCTTCGCTAATTTCTACTGAGTACTTCTTCCCCGTTGCCTATTTTAGCTGTTTGAAGACCATAGTCGTTGATTCTTGCTCTCTTTTTTTGTGGTTTGGAACTTAGAATCATGAATGGCAGCAAAGAAGGCTGATACGTTGGAAGGGAATTGGAGCAAGTTAAATCCGGGATGGAGGAAAGATATTCAGCTCTAAAAAATCAGATGGAGAGCCAATTAGGAGGAATGAAAGAGATGATAAAGAAGCTCATGGAGATGCAATCCAAAGCTCAGGAGGGGACTGTCATAGAGTACAGGGAGAGGTTTGAGTTGTTGTCAGGGAGGTTGCGGGAAATTTCGGAGGTAGTATTGGAGAAAAATTTCATGAAGGGCCTCAAGCCCGACATACAAGCGGACTTTCGATTACAGAGGCCGAGGGTATTACCTGATTCATTATGGACAGAGCACTACAATTGTGTCCAGTGTCAAGCAGTACTTAAGAGGAGACGGACAGGGTATTAGCTGAGCTAAAGGAGCATTTGCTAAGAGCCCAACAAATCATGAAAATGAAAGGTGATGACCAAAGGAGAGAAGTAAACTTTGAGCTAGGAGATATGGTTTACTTAAAATTAAGACCCTACAAATAGAAAACACTAGCCAAAAGGAGGAATTAAAAATTATCCCCACGACACTTTGGGCCTTATAAGGTCATGGAGCTTATAGGGGTAGTAGCCTATCGACTGAGGCTACCACCTTCAGCTTTGCACCCAGTCTTTCATGTCTCATAGCTGCGGAAGGCGATATGAGAGCATATACCATCTTCTCTACCTCCGACTTTGATAAAAGACATGGAGGTCATTTTGGAACCCCTGGAAGTAGCGGGTATTCGCAGAGGGAAGACAGAGTTACAAGAGGTGCTAATAAAGTGGAAAGATCTGCCAGAGCATGAGGCCACATGGGAGCCAAACGATACAATCATGAGACAGTTTCCTACCTTTCAACTCGAGGACAAGGTGCATTTTGGGGAAGGGAGTATTAATACGGGAGAAGGCGGGTCATTAAGGGCAAGGAATTTGGCCCCCCTTGTGGGTCCCATTAAACATCATTACATATGTGAGAACAAGAATTAAGTAAAGAATTAATTAGAAAGGATTTCCTAATTGAAAAGGGCAGGTTTAAAGGTTTATTGGAGGGGATTAATTAGGAGATGTTTCCTAATTAAAGATGGCATATTTGGGTGTTGATTCGAGGGTTGTTTTGGAATTTATTGTTTATTTTTTGCTATAAGTAGAAAGGTTTATGTTATGTTTTATATGTAGAATTTGATTTAAGA